TAGACAACCCTCAGCATCCTCTTCATCAGACTGTCATACAACAACAGTGTCTTCAGTCAGAGGCTTCTTCAGATCTGCTGCAAGACTGATCACTACAAGAGATCCTTCCTGCCCACAACCATCAGCATCTAGAAGAACTCTTTAATGAAACCAGGATGATGAGTTACAACATTTAATTTCCCTCTGGGATTAATAGTGTTTTTGAATTGAATTGAATTAATACAGCTGGTGACAAATTTCCCAATGTTAAAGTTAGAAAATATTATTTCCTCTGTATGAGACAGCAGAACTTTCTGTGTCACAGAAGTTTTAAATCTCTTGTCTTCACTGTGTCCAGCTGCACACGGTTGTTCTTGTGACTCCTCAGACTGTTCCTTTTCAAACATTTTGTATGTGAATACAACCAAAACTTCTTCATGACTCGGCAGAAGAGTTGTTACATTTCTTAAAGTAATGTAAGATCATGAGATATTTTGCTAACAGACAGACATCATCATCTGCCATGGGGCATCAGGTGATATGAGAAACAGTTACACACTCAGATATTTAAAATACAGTAGTTTAATATTAATACAACATAAACACAAGACTCTTGTATCATCATGGTTTTGTTTCAGTTTGTCTGAAGTTAAAACTTTATTATTGTTTAAAACTTGTCCTTTCCAGACCAATGGGGTCGTCCTACATCCACTATGCTGAATCTTCTATGAAGAATGGGTTTGGTTTGAAGTATCTGCACAGGTTCTTCAACATCCCCTTCCTTCAGCTGCAGGTGAGTTTTTGTTCTCACTGCGATGTAGCGGTTGTTCATTCGAGGACACACAGCAGGGCTGGAGCTGGTCGGGTCACCTGTCTCACTTCAGAACACGTTTGCATCGTTCAGTTCAAGGCACGTGGCAGTAACCGGGCCTCGGGATTTTCACCATGAGGAAAATGCAGACAGAACTCCTGACTGTTGCTGAATCTGGATGTTTCCTAGCCATCTTTGTATTTTCCACGTTTTACAATGACTCAATGTGTAATAGAGAAGAATCTTTCCAGTCTGCGACTGCTAGTTCATGAACAGCATTCATGAGAGAGTCTCCAGAACATCTCGTGATGTCTGCACAGATTCTTATTAGAGCCCGACCCATATATCAGTAGGGCTGATAATTTAGACCACTATAGATGTTTGGGGGGACTATTTGTATTGGTGATTATTGTCCCATTATGTGCCAATATAAACATGTCTAATTTTCACCTCTAACATGCTGCAACCAGCTGTAATTGTACAATGTATCCAGCAGAGGGCGCATGAAGACTACTGTCAAGGCATTGTGCAACTATTTGCAGTGATTTGCCACAGATTTCTGCAGGGGCAGCTGTGACTGAGTGCTTAGAGCAGTTGTCTTCCAACGGGAGAGTTGGGGGTTTGATTCCACCAGCAGTCACCTGTTGAAGTGTCCCTGAGCAAGACACTGAACCCCTCATTGCCTCTGATGTGTGTCCACTCGGTGAATGTGAACTAAAGCTCTGAGTAGTCTATACAGATTGAGATTATCTTTATAGAGAGTGCTGTAATAGTGCTGTATGAATGTGTGTGTAGTAGAAAGCTGTATGGATGTGTGTAGTAGAGAGCAGTATGGATGTGTGTGTAGTAGAGAGCTGTATGAATGTGTGTGTAGTAGAGAGCTGTAT